AGATTTAAATATTGATACGCCTACCTCCTGGAAAGTGTTGTTCACTTGGTTAAGTGTTAAGGGGTTTCTCTTCACCATGGAAATTATTCTGTGATCATTCACCACTGTTGTCAAGAGTGTCCTATTCATTGAACTTCTTAGAATTATTATTAAAAATGCTGTTAAGAATGGACTTAAGTGTAAAAAATTCTTAGCTAAAAGCTGAGCCTAAATGTAATTTTTCAAGCATCTCAGGCTCGCTTTAAGTGAAGTGTAAAAGTAATTCTTAAGTGTCTGTCTTAAAGCTGATTTACAACACTTTGCTGTGCCGCAAAGTTGATCCTGGTGTTACAAACCCACAGCATGGACCAATCACTGCATCGGATTTCATATTCAAGAATATTCTCAAAGAAATTTCAAGATAAAACAGTGAAAATCCTGAAATAACGTCACGTTCAACACTAATGTTCATACATGCCATGCTGTACTGATTGCATAAATTTAATTAAATTTAAATTGCATAAAATTTCCTATAAAGAAAATCCCTCTGCTTTTTTTAAAGTCGTTTGCATGCACTCACCGGCTGACAGTTTAATATTTTCTCCAAAGCTGCACCGAAATATTTAAGAATATTATATATATTTAAGATATTTAAGAACTGTCTTAAATATCTGGGAGAGTAAGAGGGATTCTTAGACTTAAGAGTTTGATAACTGGTATTTTCACTTAAGTCTGAGAGTAGGAGTAAATCTAGGAAATTTTCAGCACTTAAGTCTAAAATTCCACTCAAAGAAGTTTAATACAGGCCCAGGTGTTTATATAAAATCAGCCACCGGGTAGGTTACTTGTATAAAACCAAGTAAGCTGAACTCCAAGAGCATTTGTCCTTTTTAAAGAAAAGAAACTTTCTTCTGAAGGTCTTAAGGTATCAAAGTTTGCACTCAAACATTTATAGGAACTTTGAAAGAATTTCTCACTCAGGAAATTCAGCAACAATATATTTCTCTTCATGTCCACACTGGCTGTAAATTGATGCAGTTCTTAATGTAGTTTCAGAGTTGAGTAATGGGACAAAAGCACCTTTGAAAGGAAAAGATTAGTCAAATCAACCTGCAGTATTTTTTAGCAGTAACCTTCCCCCTAACATTTTTGTACAGGAGACTCAGAAAGGACCTGAAGGAAATATCTACAGAAAAGTTTCCTTATGTGTTCTAACACCAGTACAAATGTTTCCTGAGTTTATGATGACATTCTGCCAAACAACAGGGACATGTCTTTAAAAAGCTCTATGTGACCCAGAGACGATGGTAGGTGACACACACACACACACACACACACACACACACACACACACACACACACACACACACACACACACACAAAGTTCTCCGGGTCTGAGGCAGGTAAAGCTCCAAAAGGTTGTGGTTCCAATGGAGTTCAGAATTTCAAGGTAAACCTATGTGTTTAGCCTTCTTACAGATGCTGTCTGCCATGAAGGATTTTAATGTGTTACCACTACAATACATTGCGCAAAGCTAAATATGTGAAGTTCACTAAAGTCACAAGTATATAAACTGCAATGTTTTACAAGAACAACAACGCTGGAGTCTGCACTCAAAGACGCCTTAGGTCCTTGCACTGCAGCTTGCTAAAGTTTTCAGTTATAATCATCTCCGTCTCCATCTTCTTCTGCTTATCAGTAGTCAAGTCGCGGAGGCAACAGGTCCAAGAAAGAAACCCAAACAATTCTCTCCCCAGCAACACTTCCCAGCTCATCCTAGGGGACCCCCAAGACGTTCCCAGGCCAGAGAGGATACATAATCCCTCCAGTGTGTCCTGGGGTTTCCCCAGGGCCTCCTACCTGTGGGACATGTCCGGAACACCTCTAACGGTGSCATCATAATCAGATGCCTGAATCACCTCAAAGGACTCTTTTGGATGTGGAGGAGCAGCGGCTCTACTCCGAGCTCCAGCCAAACGACAGAGCTCCTTACCCTACACTATCTCTAAGGCTGAACCCGGCCACCCTGTGAAGGATGTTCATTTCACCCGCTTGAAACTGGGATCTCATTCTTTTGGTCATGATCCACACCTCATAACCATAAATGAAGGTTGGAACGTAGACCGAGCAGTAAATCGAGAGCTTTGCTTTTCAACTCAGTTCTTTCTTCACCACAACTGACAGAAGCAATGCCCTCTTTACTGAGGATGAGGCCCCAATTTGTCGATCCATCTCCCGCTCCACCCTACCATCACTCATGAACAAGACACCCAGATACGTAAACTCCTCTACTTGAGGCAGAGACTCTCCCCYGACCCRGACGGGTCATTCCACCTTTTTCTGGTTGGGAACCGTGGCCTTAGACTTAGAGGAACTGACTTTCATCCCAGTCGCTTCACACTAGGGCTGCACGGTATATACGGTAGACGGTAGAAACTGTATGAAGTTGGCCTMCGGTAGAAATTTACCCTCTACCATCCTATCGTCATTACGTCATCGCACCTGTGTCAGCATGGCTGCGAGTGCAGAGACAACCGAGCAACAGGAGTTCGAAACATAATGAAGAAATTCTAGCGTTTTAAAACACGTATAGACAGAATAATAATCCTCAAAATTTTCTCCTCCAAGTTACGTCATGTCGCAGGATCATTTCTTCCTTCCCTCTCCTCTCGCTGCACGTCGCACAGAGAGAAGCTTTAACAACCGCAGTTTTTCACACCCAATTGTCGGAGAAAAACTTGTTTTTTAAGTATTGTTACCCACAGAGATGATTATAAAAAAAGACGTGGGCGTTCCTTCAGTCATAAATCCGTCTTGCTAATGTAAAGTCGGCTTCTGCCCTGATGATGAAGATGAGAGTGCAGCAGCTGATAAGTTCAGTTGGTGGAAGCTCATTGTTTGGCAGGCAAATATTAAAGCAAAAATGCTGGGTTTGATTAAGATTAGTTTTCTGCAAAAAAAAAAAGCTCTAAAAATTACATTATCTTTACTTTTTATGATTGTTTTCTTCTATCGTGATATACAGTATACCATTACCGTGAAGGGATTCAGTTTATACCATGATRTGAATTTGAGGTCATATCGCCCAGCCCTACTTCACACTCGACTGCAAACCRCCCTAATGCATGTTGAAGGTCTTGGTCTGACGACGCCAACAGAACCACATGATCTGTATACAGCAGAGATGAGACCCTGTGATTCCCAAACTAGACACCCTCCTCTTCACAACAATGCCTTGAGATCCTGTCCATAAACACTACAAACAGAATCGGAGACTAGGGACAGCCTGGCGGAGTCCAACCTGCACTGAGAACAAGCTCGACTTCGTGCCAAGAATGTGAACACAGCTCCTGCTTTGGTTATACAGGGACTGGATTGCCCTAAATAGCAAACCAGACAATCTATACTCCTGCAGCACTTCCCACAGAATGCCTTGAGGAATACCGTCATAAGCCTTCTCTATGTCTACAAAACCCAYGTAGATCAGAGAGTCAAACTTCCATGACCCCCTGTAAGGATAAAGATCTGGTCCACTGTTCCAGGCCAAGGACGAAAGTCACTCTGCTCCTCTTGAATTYGAGGTTTGACAATTGTTTGGAGCCTCCCTTCCAACACCCTGGAGTAAACTTTCCTGGGGAGAGTGAAAGTATGATCCACGATAGTTAGAACACACTGTCCGGTCCCCTTTTTTAAAAATGGGAACCACCACCTTGGTCTACCACTCCACAGAAGTTGTCTCAGTCCTCCATACAATGTTGAAGAGACATGCCAACCATGACAGCCCCGCAACATCCAGAACCTTCAGTATCTTGGGGCGAATCTCATCCACCCTGGCACCCTGCCACTGAGATTTTTTACTACCTTGATGACCTCTGCCATAGTAATGAAYTTGTCTTACCTATATATGCCTATAATCATCAAAATTAAAAGAAATAATCATTTGAAATGTATCTGTGTGTAATGAATGAATATAATATACAAGTTTCACTTTTTGAATGGCGTTACTGAAATAAATCAACTTTTTTCATCATATTCTTATTTTCTGACCAGCACCTGTGACCACACGAACATTTGTTTTAAATGAGTTTTATTACATTTGGGTAAACATGCAGCMCTATGTGGCCCTCTGTTRGTGTCACCAAAAAAACTGTGGCCCTTTTCTATTATTTAGGTTGACCATCCTTAATGATTGATGGRGTTTCTTTTAAGCATGAACTAAAGATGTTTTACAAAGAGCATTTGAAGATACAATAGCAAAGATAAAAACTTCAGAGTCAAAACCTGGGGAATTTTTTTTCACGTTTTTTTTAATCAACAGCATTGTCCCTTTTGGTTTGCATGTAGGGGGCAGGCCTTAAAACTTGTGCTTGAACCAGCCAAGAGGGAAGAATGGTACAGATTATATATAATTTCATCTTTATAAAAAATTATATTAAAAAAAGGACACAGTCCATAAAACTGTTTTATCAGGCATGTGAATGGGAGGGGGTTCCGTTCTGAGACTGATCACCTGTAATAAATGCTGTAAAAACAGGGCTGATAGGATCAACAACAATCCTAAAGTCTGAGTTTAATTTCCTGCTGGAAGGAGGAGTATATCTGTGATCATTAGTCTGGGAGCTTCACACTGCTGCTGCTTTCACAACAAAAAACAACCTGTAACTTTTAAAACCAATTTATTTTGAGAGCTTTGAAAATGACTTAAAAACATGGCAACAAAAACACAATAAATGTATAAAATCCAAACATTTTCAAGTGAAAAACTTAACTCTGAAAACCTTAAAAAATTATTCTTAATGTTTATAAAAATCTGTAATAAATCATGTCCTCTTTATTTGAAGTAGAAAATCTTATTGTAAACTGCAACACCAACTCATGATGACATATTAATGGAGTGGTTGGATCAGATTTTAAAAATATGAAATATAGAAAACATTCTTCACATAAATACATTATTTTACAAGTAAAAAAGGTTGAAGTTTACACAGAGCAAATAARAAAGGTAGATGGGAAACAAACACTGTATTTAGATGCATGTTTATTTTCATATGTAACTAGCAGACCTTTTTTGAAACATTAAAAGCAACAGGAAACAATCCGTCACTATAGATCTGTGAACTTGTTGGAACACTACTGTGAGTTTCTTCACAGGAAACAATCCAAGGATTTCCATGTTCCTGACATGATAATTTATAGTTTTATATATGTATTTAAAAAAATGATTCCGTTGAGGCAGAAGACTGACAAGAGTCCAGTTTTGCTTGTGGTCTGTGGGGCTGAAACACATTCTGGTCTCTCACGCGACTCTCAGTCCCTCAGAGTCTTCTTTCAAAGCAGAGCACACTCTGGACTCCAGCTGGTCGGCCGTTGGCCGAGTGTCCGGGTCCGAGGTGAGCATGTCTAAGAGCAGGGTGCACATGGCCGGACCTGGTGGGGGCGGCAGCGGGGGCGCCCTTTTAAACTTGACAGGGATGCACAGCTGGAATTCAGGGTTCTCCCACAGGGCTTCCCCCAGCGGCATCAGCCAGCCTGAACGGCCCTTGCACACGTAGGCACCTGAAGGACAGACAAGGGAGAAAACGCAGGTAAGTTGTGAGGACAACACAAACTGAAGGGAGACACTTCACCTCAGCAACACTGAATCACACAATTTACAGGAYGGTAAAACAATGCAGAATTTTAGTTTTCTGCCATAAAAAAAAGCTTGGTTCTTATCAGATCGTCAATTAAGGGCAATACAACTTTAGCTGTCATTACTTATTCAAATATGTGAAAAAGCATAAACAAATAATTACACATCTACTGTTTCTAAATGATCACCCAGGTGCTACTGATCAGTATTAATCAACTGATCATCAGTGTGAGAACCTCTAGGAAAACTATGTGTGTGTTTTCACACAATGCCAAGGTGGAAAGACATCAGCACCTTTACCTTTTAAATGCGTTTATTTTGTTGCATTGAATCATAAATTAAAAATTTACAATTGACTTCAAATTATTTTTATATTAAATTTAGTTAATTTATTGCTCTACAGGCATCAATTAGCAGGTTAAATGTCAAAACTCATGATGCATCATGCTGTGTTTACCAAATAAGTGCTGGGATATTAAAACATGGTCATTTTATTTTAAATTGAAAAGGTATTAACCTGATTAATATACAAATCAAACTGAATATCTTAAAAAAAAAACTTTTTTTTTWATTTAATTACGCTGTATTCAAGACAGCCAAAATAGAAAAGATGGCATTTTTGAAGCTTCCAATTTCTTTTCAGTTATCTGACCTTACCAAAACCCTTGCTCTTTGCTAAAATACTATGTAGGTAGAACTTTTAATTTTATCAGGAACATGGCTTACTTGGAAAAAAGAAAAAGTTATTTAGCCTTACAAATTAGAACAAATATGGGTTTATTTCTGGTTTATGTGTGATGTGAAAGTCAAATGGAAATCCCCCAAGTTTCAATGGTCCAGCAATGTCTCGGATTGCAACAAATATATACAGTATATATTTTTTTGAAGTTTGTCACAAGGTTCATTTTGAGGTCTTGTTTGCCTAGGTTTTGTATTAGGAATGCATTAAAACATACAAAGCAATTTAGAAAATTAAAAATTAGCGTACTTTTTTTAAACATTCGTACCAATGATGCATATAAAGTTTGTCATATGACTGGAAATGCGTTGCRTACAAAATTAGTACCGATCACATTCCAACACAGAAACAGGACTTTTTCCAGAAGTCCGACTCAAAACCTTTTTTGCACAGCCAGCTGATCTTTGAGTCATTCCCCAGAGGCATAAAAACACATTTGGGTAAGTTTGATTTTATTTGATCAATGCAAGTGATTGCAGCTATCAAATGAAAATATTTACCAACTAATAGAAAGGTTTATGAACAAAACTTTTATTTTATATTGTTTGCATTTTGATTTGATATAATAATCTTGATGCAATGGCAGTTAGTTTATGGAGTCCTTGGAGAGGGTGATGGAGAGCGCTGCTGGCCTTAACTCAGGACGCTGTCGGTGGGCAGAACACTTTGAAAACCTCAATCCCACCAGCAYGGCTGGGGACCCTGGGTCAGACTCTCCAATCTGTGGTGCTGAGGTCATGGAGGTGTTGAAAAGCTCCTCGGTGGCAAGACGCCAGGGGTTGGATGAGATTCACCCTAAGTTCTTTAAAGGGATCCATGATTAGTTGTTACATCTGACTTTATTTGATAAACATAAACGTATTTTAACTGTAAAATAAAGACTGGGAATACTGTAGGCTGTTTTGTTTTGTAAATTTAAAAAAATATATTTTAACATGGACGGAGCCATTTTATTTACACGCAAAGTATTCTGGGTAAATGATGACATGGATAGGTCCTCGGTGTGAGTGAGCCATATCCACCCTGAAGGTTAATCTTGGACAATATCTGACGATTGACTCTTTTAAATGAAACAGAGCACGTTGACAGAGGATAGTCGAATCTCAGATTCAGGAAGAGCAGTGTGGTTTTTGTCCTGGTCGTGGAACACTGGACCAGCTCTACACCCTCAGCAGAGTCCTGGAGGGTGCATGGGAGTTTGCTCAACAAGTCTACATGTGTTTTGTGGACTTGAAGAAGGCGTTCAATCGTGTCACTCATGGAGTTCTGTGGGGGGTACCCTGGAGGTATGGGGTTCCAAGCCCTTTGATATGGGCTGTTAGGTCCCTGTACAACCAGTGTCAAAGCCTGGTTCGTGTTGCCAGTAGTAAGTCGGGCTAGTTTCCAGTGAGAGTTGAATTCCGCCAAGGTTGCCCTTTGTCACCAATGCTGTTCATAAATTATGGACAGAATTTCTAGGTGTAACCAAAGTGTTGAGGGGATCATTTTTGGTGACTTTAGGATTGCATCTCTGTTTTTTACGGGCGATGTGGTCCTATTGACTTCATCGGATCTCCAGCTCCAGTGATCTCCAGCTCTCACTGGAGCGGTTTGCAGCAGAGTGTGAAGCAGCCAGGATGAGGATCAGTGCCTCCAAATCCGAGACCACAGTCTTAAGTCGGAAAAAGGTAGAGTGCCTCTTCAGGGATGGGAAAGAGGTCCTGCCCCAAGTGGAGGAGGTCAAGTATCTTTGGGTCTTGTTCACGAATGAGGGAAGAAGGGAGCGGGAGATCGATCGACGGATTGATGCAGCGTCTGCAGTGATGTGTGCGCTGTACTGAATCTGCCATGGTGAAGCRAGAGCTGAGCCAAAAGACGAAGCTCTCGATTTACTGATCAGTCTAAGTTGCTATGGTCACAAGCTTTGGGTAGTGACCGAAAGGACAAGATTACGAATACAAGCGGCCAAAATAAGTTTCCTCCAAAGGCAGGGCTGTACAGTGCGACATATATGTCACACGTGCTATGAAAAAAACTCTCTGTGCTATAAAAGAAAAAGACTTTGTAGCACTGGTGCGACAGCTTTGGAAGCCGCTTTTTTTTCTGTCCGTCCGTCAGAAAWTTTTGTAATGCATTAAATTCCCGCATACAATAAATTCCAGCTATGTGTAATGTAGGCGTTTGATTCGGACTGTTTTAAATGAAAACCCGTTCCGTAAAGCTGACTCGGTTCAGAAGACGCACGGGCAGAGAGAGAGAAACAGAGAGAGAGAGAGAGAGAGAGCTTCTGCTTCGTCTTCTCACTCTTTACTCTTTATACGTACAGAGGAGATAGATACAAACTTTATTGGCCCAGAAACTACCTGCAGATACAATCAGAATAAAAGTCTGATTATTTTGAAACTTAAAACCCTAAAAAGATGTTCTTGGATGTATTTTGATCTGCACTGTAACAAAGGGTCAAGAGTTACTTTAGTAGCTTGAATCAGAGCAGCTGAGGGTTTTTTTCCACGCCTCTTTTAATCCCATCCTGTTCTCTGAAATCACATATGAGCGCGATGAGCGAGGATCTCTGTTGATGATTTCTGTACTGTCAGGGGGAAAATGAACATGTTCCGTGCTGTTCATCCTTTTAATGATTTTGTGTTCTTCAAAAGAGATTTAAACTGAGAACTCTGGACTAAGATAAATCTGCTGATTACTTACAGTAATTAATTTAATCATAGTAAATTCTTATCGATAACTATCACGAGTCATTAATATTAAGATGTAACATAGTAATTAAATATTCACATATATGCAAATTTCTTATAATTGAATCTGAGCTATATAAATTTGTTTTTTTTTATCAAACAAGTAGCTCTTTGTGTTTCTCCCCTGAAGTAGCTCTAATGGTGCGTTCACACCAAACGCGATTTCAGCGTCAGGAGCAGCAGGTTTACATACAAAGTCTATGGTGGAGGCGCTTCAAGCAACGTCGGGAAGTTCTGCGGCGCCTCAAGCGCGATTATGGTGCGTTCACACCGAACGCGATTTCAGCGTCAGGAGCAGCAGGTTTACATGCAAAGTCTATGGTGGAGGCGCTTCAAGCAACGTCGGGAAGTTCTGCGGCGCCTCAAGCGCGATTATGGTGCGTTCACACCGAACGCGATTTCAGCGTCAGGAGCAGCAGGTTTACATGCAAAGTCTATGGTTGCTTCGCCTCAAGCGCGATTAGAGCAGCGCGATTTGAACGATTTGGACGATCTGAGCGTTCGACGCTC